AAGGTATAATACAGTATGATCTGTATAATTAATTAATTTATTAATTTATAATTAAATATAAATTTAAGTTATGATATTTATACGTAACATTAAATTGTTGCAGGTAATTAAAATGTTAATTATAGTTGTAGCTCTTTTTGCAATTTGCTGGTTACCGCTTCAAATGTATAACGTATTCCAATATTTTTATTCAGAAATTAACGAGTAAGTATATATCATCGTATTTACGCAATATTTAAGAAAATTGTTTTATAAATATACATAAAATTTAAAAACGAATCACAAAGAAAAATAATTACAGATACAAATATATCCATTATATATTCTTTTTTTTCGACTGGTTGGCCATGTCAAATAGTTGTTACAATCCATTTATTTACGGAATATATAATGTAAGTATCGACAAATTAGAAATATTTCTAATTGTTTTGATGATTTTATAATATTATCAAATTAAATAATAATTAATTCATATTCTCAAGCGTAAAATAAACTTTTAGGAAAAATTTAGAAGGGAGTTTCAACAAAGATGTCCTTTTAAATTGCGAAGATGGACAAATAAATCACCAATCGATATCACAGATATGGAAAAAACACAAAGTACTCGAACCTCCATAAGGTATTCCTTCAATATAATTATAAAATTTTATAAAATTATGTAAAATTATATAAAATTTTATAAAATTTTATAAAATTATATAAAATTCAAAATATTTCTAATAAAAATATAAAATATTTCCTATTTATAAATTTTCTAAATATTTATAGATATGAATGGAAACGTACAATTTCCGGTACTTGTCCAAATATTTCGTCTTTTCATAAAAGTACATCAAGAGAATCGACACAATCGTTCATCGATAACCAGAAAAGTGGACGAATTAGAAAAGGAATTGGTTATTATATTCATCGTGGTAATCATTGTTCAAAAAGAAACGAAGAATTGTATGTTTTTTCATCTGGAAGACATAAACACACTCAAGATTTTAATACAAAAGAATTATGCCTATAATATATAGAACTAATTAAATAATTGATTAATATAAATAGTATTAGAGATAAAAAAACTACCCTGTTAAGAGTGAAAAATATTTTACGCAAATAATTTGCATATATTATATGCAAATGATAAACAATAGGATAGTAATAGGATAATAGTTTTCCTATAAATTGATATGGGATAATTTTTCCACAAATTTTACAGTAACTTTTGGATCTTACTTAAACATCTAATTAATTCTTTTCTTTTTAGTTTTTCTAACTATTGCTCAAGCTTTTTTACAAAGTTTATGTATTTAATGATGATAAGAATTATGTATCTTTAATTAGATGCATAGTATATATATATGTATATATATATAACATATATATATATACGAATTTTGCACAATATTTAATTATATTATATTTAATAATGAAATAAATAACAATTTCTCTCAGAACGAATTACTATACTTACAATATAGTAGAAAAAATTTTAAAAAGTTTTAATACAAATGATTATTTGTAAAGAAAAAATGCAATAGAAAATATTTTTAAAATAATTAAGACTATTGTAAAAATATTTTATACATTACAATGCATTCAATTTTCTTTCACTTAAATAATAAATTTGTTAGAATCATAGTTATTATTTTTCTTTAAAAAATTCTATAAAATATGTAAGGCTGTGAAACATGTATTAAAATAATAACTTTTTGCTAATTTTAATTATTATAAGTTTGGAACTTTTCTATGCATAATTCATATAAAGCAACAAACAGGGTAATGAGAATTTTGATCTTTGAACTTATTTGTTCAAATAAATTTGAACTTAACAAAAATTTTAAATGAAAAGAAGCACATTATTATTTAAATATAATTAAATGTTAAAATCAATGTAATTATAATGTTAATGAAATAACATTAAAATGTTTCTAGTCAATAAATTTTTGTTGAAACATTATATGAAAAAAATTTGTAATAGAAAGATTGTTTTCCTATTAGATAAGATATTGATGTATAATTTTCAATAGATAAATATTATCAACATTTGATAATAGAAATTTCCATTGATAATTTTTTTTATTTCCTACATTTCTTCTTTGCATTTATTGTTCATGTTTTCTTAAGACTCACACTAAAAAAGCCAAATACATATCTAAAATATCAAATGTTTTATTTATTATAAATATTTATTATAAATGTTTTATTATAAATATTTATAAAGATACATTATTAAATTTTACATTATTATATTTGTATTTTAAAAAATTAAAATATTAAAATATTAACAATAAAAAATACAAAAGATTATTTGATATAAAGTCATTTTAAAAAATAAATTTCCATTTTATATAAATATTGCTTATATTTGAGTTAATTGTCTGCAAAATATTAATCAAAGTTCATATTATTACGTCGCTCAATATCTTTAATTTCTAACATGTCTGTTTTAAGATGTAATTTCATTATTTCCCGCCAAATATCTAATCTATGTTGCTCATTATCAATTCCAAGTCTCAATAAAATATTTTCATTTATCCTTAACAAAACTCTTCCAGTGATATCGTGCTTAAAAACACATAAATATTGATCATATATTTAATGTTATCAGAAGTACAAAAATATAATTGAACTTGTGTTTATTACTTACATATAAAAACTTTTCATGATATAATTGATAATAATCACTACAATGCCTTCTCAACCATTTTTGTACATCTAATACATTCCATAAATAAACTGGACGGGGTCTAGCAGTTTTGTTCTACAATATTTCAATACACTTATAATCAATATAAATATTTTTATATTTTTAATTATTATATTTTTTTTAAATCCATTAAGATGTATATAAAAATATTCATATTTCAATGATATTATAATTATTTTAATAATAAATCATTATCACAACAAAATTAACCTCTCATACCTTTGGTTTATTAGTAGAATTAACTATTTCTTCTACCATTTTGTATAAAATCCAAAATATAAATTTTTGAAAAATATGAATAAAATAACAAATTACAAAAATATAAAAATAGCACTTGATATCAATTACTAATAGTATTCATCAACAGCACAACTAATATATATATATATATATACGTAATATATTACGTTTATTTAATATAATCATAAAAATTATATATTTAAATATTATTTATTTAAACATCTCAATATTATTGAAATACACAATATATATAAATTAATCAAAGAAAATTAAAAATATTTAAATTTATTGCAAAATTATATTACTTTCATTTCTCATAGTATTCTATTTATGGATTTAATTTCTCCATTTTGTAACTATATAATATATCAATTTTAAAGTGTAGATATATATTATATTACTAAAAATTCAAAATTACGTCATATTGTATTTTTAATTGCTTTAAATGAATATTTTTATATAAAATTTTAATTCATATTAATGATGAAGAATCAATGCTTTCAAAGTTTAATAGTAAAAATTTTGTCTAATAAATTTTTTTAACTAATGTAACATATTTTAACTTTCTTAATAAATCGTTCTAATAAATAATAAATATAATTTTATATAAAATTAGAAATCTATATCTATTTATCTATATCTATTATCTATATTTATAATTAATATAAAATTATTTATATTTACATGAAATATTTAACATAAAATTCTATATGAAAAAGAATTCTACAGGAAAAAAATATTTCATGTTTCTGAATTATAATATTACATTACCTTAATACAGCAATTTTTTCTTTAGAATTCTTTCAAAACTGCTAATATCACAAATATCACACACACTTAAAATATTAAAAATGGATAAATATTATTTATTCATTAAAATGACATTAAAATGACAAATATTTGAAACGCGCGAGAGAATTCAAACGTAATTTGAAACTGAACTGCCAACTTAATATAAACGGAAATACACTGATTTGACTCGCCAACTTCATTTAATGCCACCTTGTTTCCGATCCTTCTCCTCTAACTAACGAAACAAAATGGTAACTATTTCTTGTTTATCGTTTATATTTAATGTATTTTATTGTGTGCATTTTATCTTCTTAATATCCAATATTAAAAAAAATAATGTAAAATATAATTTTGTATAATATAATTAATATTAATAATAACATATTTGTGAAATACCAGTGTTCGGTAATCATAAACCATGTGCTTGTCACATTATATATGTATTTGTAAAATATTTTTTATTAAAATATACTCTAGGATATATATAAAAAAAAAAAATGTTTTCGTGCATATTAAAATATTCGTTGAAATTCTAAATTTTTAATATTAAATTTTTTATGTATTAAAAAATGTTTATCTTAACCTTTATCTATTTTATTTATAATAATCATTAAATTAATTATTAATATTTAAAATATAAAATATTTAATATTATAATAATTAATATAATATATATTATATTAATTATTATAATAATTATTGTTATATATATATATTTTTTTTTTCAGACTTGCAAACGTAGAAACGGTGGACGTGCCAAACACGGTCGTGGTCATGTGAATCCTGTCCGTTGCACTAATTGTGCTCGATGTGTACCTAAGGATAAAGCAATTAAGAAATTTGTTATTCGTAACATTGTAGAAGCTGCAGCTGTCAGAGATATCACAGAAGCAAGCTTTTATTCGGCATATCAACTTCCAAAGTTATATGCTAAGTTACATTATTGTGTTTCTTGTGCTATTCACTCAAAAGTAGTCCGTAATAGATCTAAAGCAAATCGTCGAATCAGAACACCTCCAGTTCGTAATTTCCCTAGGGTAATTATTAAAATTATATAATTTTATTGTTAAAAATTTCAATTTTATCATACATTTTATTATTCAATAGTTATTAAATTTATTAATATATCTCATTCTTTTTCAGGATCTTCGTCAAGGTCAACAAAGCAGAAAATAATTTACTATGTAAATTTTAAGTAAAATAAAAAATAAAATCGATCTTAACTGTTTTTTTATTCATATCATTTATTCTACAAGTTATAAGATAAATTATATTTATAACTTTTCTATAATTTCTAAACAAGATAATCTTTTATATTTATTATTACATGATCCAAAATTTAATACAATATTACTGGAACAATGTAAAAATTATATAGATTAAATTTCTTACATATGCATACTTCTTCACAATGCACGCAAAGAAAAAAACTTCAAGTGCAGTCTTAATATTAGCTAATACTAATAAAAGTTTTCAAGATGTGATGTCAAATACCAAGTAGAACTTTGCATCTATTATTTGTCGATAATGCATAAAATTGATAAAAATAGTTTGCATATAACTGTAGCAAGAATCTCGCTATTGTTGCATTTTTTGTAAAATTAATATACAATTAACAATAATTGTCAAGGAATCATTTATTTGCTTCCTCCATTGCTTTTTTAAGCGTTTTTTCAAATATTTTCTTAGAATCACAAAACCCTTGCTTGGTTTTACCAAATGAATTTGGTCCAGCAGAGGTTGGTGTTTCTCTTCCAATATTTCTCATCCTCATTCTTGCTTCTGCTGGCATTTCTTCAGGTTCATCTTCTTCATCTGCATTAAACACAGATGCTACTGTTGGCCTTTGAATTGGTGTTGCTTTAACCGTGGGTTTCTGAAACATAATTTTTTATGAAATATAAATAAAGTAATAAAGATGTATATGTTTAAATTTATATATTATTACTTACTGATGTTGAACCTAGTTTTATTTGAATACCCTTTTTTTGTTCTGTTCCACTTTTCTTCCCAAACCCAAACGCCAGCTTCTGTTTCTTTGCATCACTTTGATTGTAATTAGCCTCTTCACAACGGTCATCTGATCTAAGTGGCGAACGATCCCTTCCTCTGTCATCTCCTCTGGAGTCCTCTGCTCTGTACACACTTGACCCTGACAACGTCAAACACTGGCAAAGTTCAGATCAAGTTAAAATAACATTGTATCTTTTAACCGGAAATATTTAAGCGGCATGCTCAGCACAAGTTTCTTGCAATTCTGGATTAAATTCAAATCAAATGAAGTCAATAAATGATGATGAAGAAACGAGTGTGCATATAACATACACATCCTGAGGTTATTTATAACAATACGAAGTGCGATATATTTACTTGATAATTTTATTACATAAGGTTAACATTCATTCCATTTTTACTATACATCCTTTGGCACATGGTTGAAGGATGCGTGCACCCAAAAAATGGTACATGAAAAGTAAGAAATGAGATTTAGAAAATAAAATACGACTTTAATATTTATTTGTCCATAAAATTGCTTCATAATTAATTTTCTAAATTAAATATTTAGAACTTGCATTATTCGTAATAATGGACATGAGATCAATAACGAAAACAAATTAAGAATAAACTGTCCACATTTTGCAAGGTACGAAGTAAATGTTATTTTACCAAATGCGACTGATACGGTTATAAATAAAATGAATAAAACCTTTTCTATATTCGTCTCCTGGATTCCTCTTCGACATTTTTCTGATTTTCTTTGGACGTGATGCGAAATCGACCAAACTAAAGCAATTTAATCCAGCAACTGCGGTTTACTTCACACTAGTATTCTTATTTCCTATCATAGGGAAATTTAAGAAGATATATAAACGACTAGTAATTTTTTTCCTACTAGAGAAATAATAGATAGAATTTAAAAAAGAAAATAAATAAAACATTAAATATTAAAACATATTCCTAATAATTACAATATCAATAATATTTAATAATTTTTACTATGAAAATTATTGTAAACAAATTTTGTTGATTTAAGTTTCCTTAAGTCTTTCTTTCATTGATTAATTAAATTGGCGCTTCATATTATATGATTCAAATACTCATATATATAAAAAATATTTTAATCTTTTTAAATCTTAATTATAAATATCTTATATATTTTTTTTAACGAAGAGATTAGAATAGATTAGAAATTTATCAATAAAAGTTAATGTAAGAAAATCAATATTGAAATAACTAAATATATATATATATATATATGTACATATATATATATATATATATATTCTAATCTTATTTTTCTTGTTGATATAAAAGTATAGGTATAAGATCAGTTATTGAAAAGCCACGAATGTGAATATATTTCTTTAAAAAATAAGAACGAATTGCCGACAGCGAATTGTTAAAAAATAATTAAATAAATTCATTAATGAAATCGCAAGTATATTAAATATATTAAGTATATTAAAAAAGAAAGTTCAATAATAAAACAAATAACAATTTATTTAAAAAAATCAAAATATAAATAAAAAGTTTATATATTACATTATTAATTTTTAATTTGATATTTCTTATTTAAGAATGAATAAATATATAATAAAGGAAATTGGATTTCTTCTGGTAAGATTATTATTATAATTTTTTTAATCTAAAAAAAATATTCTTCAAACATTATTAATTTGATTTTTTTTCATGATACATTAAATTTTAATATTATAAAATGATTATAAATATTTAATATATAAGTATTTACTGTATTCATAGATAAGATTAAATTACGTTTATCATTTTATTTCCAAATCTCTCGATGAATCTTCGAATATTATCTTTGATTTTTTTTATCATCAATTTAAAATTAGAAAAATAATGTCACGTTATGTATTGTTTTTTTTATAAACTATAATCAAAATAATAACTCATATATTGAATAATAAATATAATGCATTTTTTGTTATATTCAACTTTTTTTCATGAAAATTATTCATATAAATATTGAATTATAATTTATTTTATATATAATATACAATAATTGGAATTTTTATCAGCTTATATTTCCAGTATATTTAAAATCTTCTGATATATCTACTATATATAAGATGAATCCCAATTTTTTGCCAGGTACTAGAATTAAATAAAAATTTATAAAATTAAAAATAAATATAAAAAAAATATAACAAAATCTATTTATTAATAAAAATATTTTTCAAATTAGTTCCAATTTGCAATCGTGAACATTATTGCGAGGAAAATACATTGTATTATCCAGAAAAAATAATATCACAGGAACTAGAAAAGTATCCTCACTTTCGATATTATGCAAATACAAATGAGGTTTGTGAATTTTAAAAATTCAAATACATTATATTTTATTAATTATATATAATAAAAAGTTATTAGTTAATTTATTAATGATATCTTTTCTTACATACTATTTTTCTTTTTAATAGATAATATATCCTGAATTCGAAGATAAATCAGAAGAAGAATCACTTTGTATCTCTAGAGTAAGTCATGAAACAGAAAAAACAATAGATTAATAAATTGGTTAATACATTTGACTTTATCCATTTAATCGTTTATAATTAGTACTTTTCTTACCATTTCGTAGGAACAAATTATATTCCCCAAATCAGGTCTAACAAAAGAATTGGAATGGAAATATATCGTAAATCACATAAACTTGACGCAAGCTATACACACCGAGATATGTCTGTAAATACGAATTTATATATTTAATATGAAAATATTTTATAATGTTTATAAAATTAAAATTTAATTGATAATATATATATTATAGGGAAAAAGACAGACCATGTAGAATAATCGAAGGTTTCGCTGAAGGATATTATACAAAATGTAAGCAAAAATTCACATATCATCAGCTTTTGGCAGTAGCATCAAATGGTTCGATAATACCCGAATTATTTCGATTTCCAACAAATTGTTACTGTCACATCGATTTTGAATCTGATAGATTTTTGCGTTCATTAAAATTTAATAATTAATGAGAGTAAATGATGTAATATTAAATATGATATAAAATTAAAAGGTATATATTATATGAGTCAATTTCTATTTATATAATTTGTAAAATAATAAAATGCATAATCTATATAATAAAAACTTAAATCTATTATTATATTATAATTAAGTAGTCAAATCTATTATTAGTTAATTACGCGAAATGCGAAACTATTTATCATAACAAAAGTGTTTAATTTTTTATATTTAATCTTCCTATATTGACAAATGTAATTATTTTTATTTACTTTACTCAACTTTCCATTTACTAAATATTTATGTAGCACACATAATTATAATTTTCAATAAAATCCTTATTTTTATCGTCTTTAAACATCGTTCTAACGTTTCGCCTTTCACGTACGTATTTTTTTTCTCTCTTCGATGCCTCCTGTTTGACTTATAACCGCTGTATCATCTTATCGATTTCTCTCACTTCAAAACAATTTGTTTCTTCTTTATGCATGCTAAGTTTATTTTATTAATAGCTATATTAGCTCAAAATACATATATTGTCTAGTAGCGAGTGATGTTTTAATTTTTATCTTTATTTATTATGTCTAATAATATGAAAATGAAAATTAAGTTTATCGTGAAAATAATCATATGATAAGATACTGTACAACAGTGAAATTTAAAAATAAAAAAAGAGAGAACAGTTAAGAAACCAATATCGAATTCATACAGAGAATGTATACATATTACGTATAATACATCCGATATAATTATCCTGTCATGAATTAGATGACTTTCCTGGCTTGAGTACGTAAGAATGTCTATTCATCGTGAATATATATATAACCGGATACAAATAATGATAGGATTCCGCCAATTTTCTTGCTTTCTATTCAGAATATTCAATTTCAAATGTTCAATTCGATATATTCGACTAAAAATATTTTTATATAAATATTATATCTTTTTTAATTTAATTATTATATTAATATGAACTTTCCTTTCCTTCTCAAAGTTTTTTAACTTCACTAGAGCAAAAATATTTTAATATGCAAAATATATCACAAAATAAATTTTTGTTATTAATAATTTGAATACTAATATAAATACGTAAAGAAAATTGCGCATTAACTCGATATATATAACTCGATTATGTATAACTTACGATTAAACCTTTCATGATTTAAATTTTGCCATTTTAACAAGGCGCAAACATTGTTGAATTTTCAGATACATGTCAACATATACATATAAATTTAACAAGAATCGAGTTATGTCATTAATCGGGTGATCAATTATGTTGTTCACGCACCGTGAAGCGAGACCGGGGAAAATATGAAAACTATCGAGCCACCCGATGAAAATCGAGTAAAACTGGCTATTCATTATTCATTATTCGGAGGGATGTACTTGCATTTCACTGAAATCGCTTTCATTAGCGTGCTTTGACTAAGGAACTTGAGTAAAGAAAAAAAAGACTGCAGTATATGTATCTCTTCCTCTTCTTTCTTATTTATGTGCCGCGCTTGACGAAGCGTATTTTAGTATAATAGACATATGACGCATATGTCTATTGTGTATATGTCCATAGTGCATATGACGCGCATATGAATTTTGGTCGCATCGACTGTCTGCAATTGAAGAAAGTAAGCCAACGACATGATTGGCAATTTTCCAATATGTATGTTAAACCTGAGGAAGAATAAAAATAGATGACAATGAGAAATAATTTTGAACGAAAGTATTTAACAGTATGATAATTTTTGTACAAGTTTTGCTTAAGATTTTATATCCAATTGAAATAATAAAAATTTATACGATTAATTTATATATATTATAGGATTATTGTCTCTATTGTCAATATTAGAATTAGAAAATTTATGTATTATATAATATTATATAATTATATGGAATTAGAAATTAAAAATATAACGATTAAAATAAACGATTAATATCGATTCCAAAATCTAGAAAGCAAAAACTTAATAACTACAATCTTACATCATAATCTTTATTAGATAAATCTTAATTTTTCATTTCATAATAGAAATATATTTCATAATAAACAAATTTTTTAAAGATTGATTAAATTAAATTGAATGAAAAATAAAATATTCTTATTTAAAAGATTAAGATTAAAAATTCATTTAAGTTTTTAGATATCTGTATCTGATAAAAGTAGATTTTCATATATAAAACATATTCATATATATATATATATATATATATAATATTTCTCTTAATTTTTAAATTTTAAATTTCATTTTAATAATTATGAAACAAAAAATATCAATCAAAATTTTGATAAAAAAAGATTCGCGATGGGCAGCGTTCTCCCGTAAAGCTAAAAAGGTGGGAGCCGGTATAAAGAGAGGAAATACTCGATGGCGATGGCCAGTGAGTTCAGTGAGAGTGCCGTGATCCTTTTACCGATCTACTGTGAAAGTCAACCATGAAGGTACCCATTTCAAGATCATTGTGCATCCTTTGTTTTATGTGTGAAGTGTAAATTTTCCTATCGAAATCTCATCCTATCTTTCACTTGAATCATCAGTTTTAATATACATTTAATCATTGAACTTGCGATAGATTCATTGTTCATTCTTCTTAATTAAATTCAATGTTATTTTAAATTTATGTTTTGAAAATCAAAACAATATAGAGAAAGTTGAAGTCAAGATTTATAATACACAAAGTCTGAAATGAAAGATTATTTAATTATCATTAATTATAGTGAAATATCAATATTTATTATTAGAAAATCATCTATAAGATCTTCTTGCGGTTCATTTCTTGTATTAAGATCGAGAGTAGATCGTGGTTTGTGTGAAAGTAAAACACGTTGCTTCATAAATTCTCGGGGGTACATTCCTTTTAAGATTTATACATAACAATGGAGAAAATTAGACTTTATCCGTACTTCATACTTCATACTCTATAGAAAGTAAAAGTGTAAAAAAAACACGAGGATCATTATCATTAAAGAGCGGTTGTTTGTCCAGAAAAAATTACATTCCTTTGTTCTATTTATTCAGCTCTTAATGTCTTTCAAACTTTCGTATTATCTTTTCCTTCAAACACATATTTCTTTTTATATTGTAGCATGACTTTTTAGACATGTTTCCTTTTTTACAATCATAAGCTTTTCTCCGATAGTGAAAAGATCTCTCACTTGAAAAAAAAAAAAAATGTAGAAAAAAATTTTTCTTACAAATATATAAATGATTAAATAAAATCATAAAAATGTCGTGAAAGTTGACTTGGATAAGATGAAATGAAACGCGAATCGAGTGGTTCATCGAATAGTATAGTGCAAAGTCTATTGAGAAGAAAGTTAGTAGAAATGGATGATGATGAAAGATGTATACTAATTTTGATTCAGTGTATAACCGGAAGTGTTTCTCAGTGTATAACCGGAAATCATTCCAACCATCTCTTCTAATTGAAGAGTTTAATTTCAAAAAGAGAAATCCATAACATAAAGTGATATTTCTACGATATACCGGCCAATGAATTTTTAGAAATCATGATAAGCGCAGCGGCGTGAGGAGCGTATGGTAACTAGGTCGAGCATTGACATTAGCTCCAAGAGCAAGGACGCTTTGATCACTTTCATCCGACTGAGAAAATTCCTTTAAATGATCAATTCAAACAGAAATACATTATTATATTCTTTTTTTTTTAGATTTTATCTAGATTTTATCTCTTTTAGAATTATCGTTGCAAACTTATAAATAAAATGTTCTGTTTTTAATGTCTAGATTAAAAAAATCATTGTTGGGATTTTTATTTTTATATGAACGTTGAAATTCATATCAAACATTTCTTTATTTCAATTATTGCAATTAAATCGTTTAAGATTTCCGCTGAAAACATAAATTGATTATAAAATTGAAATTACAAAAAATTGTTAAATATTTATGTATTCTCATAAAAAAATCATAATCGGATCATAAAATATTAAAAATATAATTACCGTGAAACTTGAAATTTCTCGTTTTCAATTTCTTCGTTTCTTTTTCTCGATTTATAAAATCAATCCTGTCAAGATCGTTGTTCTTCGTGATGGTAGCAAACATGGACATCTAAAACGGAATCCTCGTATGACTTTCACCAAGAACCGCTCCACTTGTTGCATTCACGTTCCTATACTGCATGCTTCACTGATTTATAGATCTTGCCAATATGTTACGCGTTTGTTATCGAATTGACCAAAAAAATATCCTTTTAAATTAAAATTATCTCCTTCCTACGTCGCAGATATCTTCCATTTATCCCAAGAAAACCTAAACAAACAAAATTAACAAATATTAACGAAACGATGTATCGATTACACATTTATTTCAGTTACTGCCATTGCTTGCACTCAGCTACTGCTCTATCGTCGTTGTACTATCGGAAAGTACAGAAAGCGCGAAAAGCACGAAGGAACAAGATTTAAAGGCACGCGCGTCGAAACAACTCGAACGATTGGCCCCCTATCGAAGAGTGCACGACAACAAGCAACCAATATCCGACGAACAGTGGCAATTGCTCGAGAATGCGGCCAAGGATCCCGAAATCAGGGCGTTCAACGAGGAAAAAATCTTGGAGATCTATTGGCTTCTTCCCGAAAACGTGCAGAAGGACATCATAGAGAAAATTGGCGGGAGTCGAGAGATAATCGAGATGCTGGCAAATAAAAAGTACATGGCGTTGGTGGAGGATAAAGATATCAATAAAAGATCAGGATCGAAACGCGAAACGTACAGTCACGATGGATACGAGACACCAACTAGCGGATATCCGTCCCAGGAATACGCAGAGTACGCGCCAGAGTACGGAGATCAATATGGGAAACCTGAATCGTCCGGATCCGATTCTGGATCGATCCTAAAGGGATCTGGGAGTTTGATCGGTGGTCTAGCCAAAGGCATTATCGGTGGCCTCGTCAGTGCATCGGGAAGCGCATCGAAAGGTTCATCTTCGGTCTCGGCCTCGAGTTCTCAGTCAAGCGTCCAATCAAGCTCGAATAGTGGTGATAAGCCAAAGCCAAGGCCGGAATATGGACAAGTTTACTCGGTAACTATGTAGTCGCAAGATTGTCGTTACAATTGCGTTAGAATCTCCATTATCCGCAATTCTATTATTCGAATGGTCTGAATTGAACTGTTTCACTGTCCTTTTTGGTAAAGATTATTTTTCCTGTGAAATTGTACTTGGAGGAATTAAACTAAGAAGGATAGTATTTTTCTAGTTTAATCAATATTATAGATGTAACGTTGGCATCAAAGAAAACATTAATCAAAAAAAAAATTTGGAATAATAATTATCAAAACGAGATACGAGTTCTTCTATTAAAAATTTCTCTTATTCGTTCGACTATACGTATATTTCTTAATTCGGATATTGGAGATTTCAGCGTACAGCAGCGGGTTCAGTTGAAATAATTTACGATTGTTTAATATTTTATTAAAAATACCGAAGAATTTTTGAGAACTTTTCTTTTTTTTGGCGAGAAACGAAAGAGAAATTTGGGTTTCCATATAAAAAATATAAAACGAGTTATGTACGGAAATTCATATTATAGATGAAAGTTCATATATTTATAAAAAGATAAGAATCGATATTATAAATGCTGGTATTTTAAAACAATATTAAAGATCGTTTAATTTATAATGAATTTTACGTAATCTGCCACGAGTGAAAGTGATTTCATCTGCATAGAAAGTTTATTTATATTTGATATTAAGGGAAAAGATATAAGAAATATTTTACATATATTTATCGAAATCTTCACGATTAAGAGGCGTGAAATTTATCGAAATCTTTTAACGAACCCGTAGACTATACTCAAACTCTACTTATTTACTACAACATGACAAGAACAAGGACAGAACAACCGATAGTAGAAGAATAGTATAAACGATATATATAGATATATTATATATATAGATACATTAGCTGCACGAAAGAAAATCTTTATATGGGCCGTTTAGATTGCAATTAAGGAGGGAAATCTAAGCTGATTCTCGTCTTCGCATGCTTCTTATTTGATCGTATAATTTCAGGAAAAAATTTCACGATGGAAATAAACGTTGGATGATATACTCTTATCCTTCTAAATTATTCTTCTATCTTTCGTTCCTGGAAATTGCATATTTTTTAAAAATTTGTATTATCTTGTGATCTAGATAAAATAGCTCAATAACACAGATTTTTTTTCGTACAAGCAATTTCACGATTAATCAGTCCACGAAGTCGTAGAAATTTATAATTTCCATCGTGAAATTATAACTTATGTTCGAATAATCGACATCGAAGGAAACAGGTCGACCGTGATATGTCATCACCGATCGTTCTAATCTGTAATAATTCGAATCTTATTTGCACTATAAAAGCAACGATCAAAAAAATATCAAATTGTAACTTAAAAATTTCAAAAAGCGTTTCTATAACATTAATCAAAAAATTTAATGCCTGTTATAAAAAAAAAACTTATGAAAAAAATAATTTACATTATAGTATAATGTACATTAGTACAAGTAGTTACTATTATTATATATAAAGACTTTCTTATAAGAATCTGTATCGTGCAATATAATAATCAATAAAGTAAAGCATAAATCGCATCTCGATTAATTTGAGCGCACGTATCTCGTTAATGAAATTTTTCTATGATAGTATGGCGAAAAGGTGTTCGACGTTTGGGACTTCAAAAAGGCGATCGTTAGCACATTAATGCAAGCCATAAAAGCTATAAGTGGCGGTGTGATTGCTTTGAAAGGTCAGCTATTGAAAGGAAGCGGTTACCTTGTCTCTTCAAAAGGAAAAATAATTAGTAAAACTGGGGATGTGATCACTACATTGGGTCGAAATATCGCTAAGAGTGCCGTGCAACCTCGTACGGAGTCACCCCCTCCCATGTATTTGTACGATCATCCTCCTCCACCAATTAGTAAGTTCCTTTTTAACTTAAACTTTGTTTATATATTTTTTGTTAACTTAGATACTTAATTTCATAATTTCATAATACCTATAACAAAAAAATATATAGTTAATTAAATGCAATTTTCCGTAATTATTTAAAAAATTAAAATCTTAATGAAATGAAACAGGTCACGAAGATATTTACGAAGGGCCTCCTCCACCCGATCACGAGGAATATAGCGGGCACCATGGATATCATGAAAATGCGAATTATGAATCCTCGGATAGTAAGACTTAATTTAAAATCGCTAAAACATATTTTTAGTATCAGTGCAGCAATACTAATATTTTTTTGCTTTTGTTAATTTTCGATTCACAAAACGAGATCTCGCAATAATGATTAAATTTTTATGGGGAATGCATGGGCAATAAATACGCTTATATCTCTGCTTCGAATGTATGATATGCTCGATGAATGTATGTATATATGTGTGCTCTCGTGTGTGAAAAAATTCGGTGAGAGGCGTAGAATCTCGGAAGAGGCGTTACGTTTTAAAATAAAGTAAAAGTGATCTTCACTTTCAAACAAGATTCTAATCTTTGGAACTTTCCTTCGTGTATGAAGACAAGTAAACTAGAGAAGAGTCTACAGAAGAATAGCGCCTTGAATTCTGCATCGGTCATTATATTTATTCGGTATAATATAAATATATTTCAAATTTCGTACCGTCTCTGTGAACTTTCCCTTGCTTATCATGATTGCTTCTTTGTTAAATTTCACATTCCATGATAAGTTTCTTTCTTCTACAATTATTCTACAATTATTCTCTTTCCGATCTTCTGAGAACGATCTCATTCCTTTCTTCTTTTTCCTCCTTCTGATTTTCAAAATCTTAAATCGATTCACTTTTGCTCTTGTTCAATCTTTCTGATCAAATTCGTCATTATATAACGCTTTCTCTGAAAAAAATTAATCTGTTCAAAGATTCTTTTATAAAGTAGATTTATATACTTGTATCAAATAAAATGTACATAATTATTAGGAACAAAAACAATAAAAGTTAATAAATAAGAAAACTTATACAAAGACATTCATACTAATACACTTAACTCATACATTGTAAATACGAAACGGCATGGCAATAAAATATTAAATGAATTACCTTTCGTTTTATGAACTAAAACTTGGACTAAAACAGGAAGCGGATATTCATATAAAAGAAAACAAACTATTATTTCTGCTATTATCTATCTTACTATTTCTAATCTAATAAAAAGAAATATTTATTAACAATTAAAATTAACAATTTTTAACAATAATCTTTATCAGAACATATTATAAACATATTTAATATTCGAAGATCATTTTAATATCATGAAACGAAGGATTAACTTTAGACTCGACTGACAGACGTTACGTTTACAGTCGAAGATCAGGCGGGCCTACTTATTGCGAAACCGACGAAACCTGACAACCATGATCACCACACTGTGAACTTGGAAATTCGAAAACCTGCTGTGACGCATCCGGAAGACGATTATTACGGGCCACCACCTGAATTACCTCACAAAGATATCGAGAACACTGTGATACCGAATTATCACTTTAATCAAGATGACCACAAAGTGAACTCCAATTCTCCATTGCCATCCAGCTACGACGTTATGATTCAACATTCGTCGAATGATCAAAATGGATACGACTATCCAATCTATCCTCCACTTGCTCCTAGTCCTCCATCGAATCTTCATGCACCGTTCACGATTCAACAGAGCATCGAGTATCCACCTATACACATTCAATATTCTATCCCTGACAAAGGAAACTTGCATTTTCCAAAGAGTGATATGTCTAGCAACGATTTGTCCGTGTACTCGAGCTTATCGATAGATACGAATCCTAAAATAGAATCGATTAAAATATCCGCGGAATTGCCCAAGTTGCAATCTCTTGCAAACATCTCCAAGAGTCCATTGCTTCCATATTCTTACTCCATGCTACAGGGGCCTTTAAAGATACCACTACTGACTCCATATTGGCAAAATCAGGGATTGATTCAACCTTTCACTAATTTCAACATGCATGGATTGTATCAGAGAAAAAGTAGTGGACAGAGAAGAAGATCCATAAACGAATTTGTTCACCGTATGAGACTACCTAGAGGGTAAATTGAAAGACAGGTAATTAGAATAATGTATGTTAGATGTGAAATTTTATTTACCATGAACACTTTGCACGTGATTAATTGTGTTAAATTAAAAATAATACGAAAGAAATAATTTTTTTGTTTGTTTGAATTATATTACGATCAATAATGGAATTTTAAACCTGTATCTTTATATGTTTGATGTCTGAATACGCCCATATTTAACTTTATCTTTTAATAGTTGTATCACTTGGTTTTACAACATCTGCATGATATTTGGCATCTTGTGTGTCTTTGGCCACAATATGTGTTTAGTTGTGCTTTTCTTTGCTTTTTATAGTTAAATGAACACCATGTCTTTCTTTTGTGATAATTCACAAAAATTATATATATTAAATTCAATATTTTATGTTCCAGTGGTTTACTCTTATGCGCATTATTACCCGCACAATGGATTTAAAAAACATCGATATTATCGTACTAAACACAGAAAGAATTAACTTTAAAATTTGAAACTAAAGTGAGTGGAAAAAGAATTAAGTGGGTGTGTTATATTACTCAATTGAGAATTAGCTAGGCATAATTTATCTACCTACGTATATATGTATCCATCCGTGTTGCGGCTTTCGCCTCGTTACAAAAGAAGACTAAGAAATTTCATGGATGGATTCAACGGAAATCATTCGTGGACGAATCTTCTTGGGATTATTCTGGAAAAAGAAAGCGGTCCAACGTGTAAATTAAAAAACGATGAATGTTGTTGAATTTTGAGTTACAAGCATAAGTCAATGTAAAGGATACTCATTATAGTTGATTTTATCTTGTGATATATGTTGAATCGCTAATAAGTTTTTTCTTTTTCTTTTTTTTTTTTGTGTATGATTGCAACATTAAGGTACAATTTTTGTGTCTAGTTTGTTTTTAGAGCTTTTTATATGATGCTCATTGATTATTAATTTTTAAGAAGAAGATGAATGTTGTGTATGAAAGTATATAACGAATTCATTATGCGTACAAATGCAAATGAAGCTCGAGAAACTTTTATGCAATGAAGGAGGCCATAACAATGAGAGTAACTAGTTTAACCTTCCTTCCTCTTTTTTAACGCTCTTCAGAATTTATAATTATAGATATCGTAATATTTGTAACGCGATATAGTTCTAATTAGTCGTCGTAATAGTCGTGTATATACTTTTGTATAAATAGAATATCAATAAATGAATCTGATATTGTTTTTTTTGTTTTAAATTAATTTTGTTTTATTCCAATCTTTCTTTATATCTTCAATTTTATCCATAGATTGAAATTTTCTATAAAAAAGAAAAAGATGTAAATAATTAATTAATATATACCAGAAGAAAGAAATGAGAAGAAATTGAAAAGAATCTATCGTTAATCTGAATCAATATATAAACGAATATAAAGAGTAATGAATGATATTCACGAAAATAAAGCGTCTGAAGTAACATCCAGTCTCGATCTCCTTTCATCAACCTTCACATTGAGTGCAATGAACTTTCAATCTTAAGTAACATCGATTCTTTTCAAATATCTTATACTTTATATTTTATATCCTTTCCTTGTATATATTTTTTTAATTATATCTGATAAAATATTCAGATGTATAAAATTATTATATAAAATATTTTTTAAAATTTAAATTATTATTTATATAAGTATTATCAATTTTAAGAATTTTGAAAGAAATGAAGTAAAATAAAAATATTAAAAAGTTCTTAAGAAATTCGTGGATATCAAAGAATTTATGCTTTTTATGTATCTACAGATCTTGTAAACGGAAAGAATATAATATAATATAATACAAGTCATAAAATATCGAAATGCAAAAGTTCTCCTTTCATTTGTGAAAGATTGAATAGCATGGTCGCATAATTTTAGTCATAAACTCACGTAGCTACCGATGAATATAGTGGGTCACTGGATCACACATGTTGGTCCGTGCGTATCCACGCACACAAATATATCCTCACGAGGGAATCCAGTAGCAGGATATGGAGAGAAACGGCGTTTGACCGGTCTTCGATCGTTCTGTCCATCTGTCGACTCGCAAAGGGCCTTTGATACAATCGCAAATCGACTTTCCTGTCATCAAATTCCTTTTCGGCTGATTGTAACAGATTTACAAAAGAGTCATGCATCATCGAAACAATCGGATGTCATTAACGATATAAATTGTTAACTTAACGTTCTTATGAATATTAATTCTAAATTTACTATTTTAATTGTTCATACATTGACTTTGGTTTGAAACTGATGTAAGATTGTATCGAAATAGACTTCGTGTTATCTTTTCTTTTCTCTAAAGGCGTCTTCGTCAAAGTACCGTTTCTGGAAGACGTTCACTATACATGACTTTACTTCTTTAAGTCGGAAGAAGTATGCATACGAGAAAAGAAAGTAAATTAAAAAAAAAACTTTTATAAAAAATTTAAAAATTCGAATAAATTTTAAAAAATTAAAGAATTTTTAACAAAACAAATCAAAATGTCTATTTTTGTATCTACTTTATTATCAACTTTATCTGTTGGAAAATATTTAGAAAACGAAGAAAGAAGATAAAAGATGAAAAGATATCTATTTACATACAATTAATTTCATTACGGTTTGCTTGATACTTTGCGTTGAAGAATCATAGAATTTAGAATTCTTATGAATTTCGTGGAATCTATGACTTTTCCCGGTTACATTCCCGCGTTTTGAAGCAGCTGTTATCCATCAGAGTAGGAGGAACAACGTTTCGGCCTTCGATGATACGTTCGCCGGTTGCGAGTATAAATGAAGGACAATGACCTAATTGTGTGCAGAACACGCAGTGCTTCCTCAACGTCCAATCATCGCACGCGTCAATTCTGTTCGATTATTTGTGATCATAACTTCCGGTATATATATATATATATATATATATATATTTTTTCTTATTTTTTTCATCGCTTTCCATTTTTTCCTCTCAGTGAAAACAACAAACAAGTTATCAGGTGATAAATCTGAAAATTGTAATTTGTTCATTACGGAACTTTATTGGAAGGCAAAACGATGAAGGTAAGCTCATTTCAAGGTTACTAAAATAAAATTTGCTGTGTATTATTCATTAATAAACTTTCATTTTTAAATTAATAATTTATATATATTGTAATTTTATGAATTCAATATTTGATAATAATTGAAAATTGTGGTTTTCTTTGATTAAAAGCAATATAATATACTGTTATATTTTATTTGTTATCGTTTGATATCTTTAAAAATAAAAAACTCTTACTACTATTTAATTATAAAATATCAATTATATTTTTCTACTGATCGTTAAATCATCTTAATCTTCTTAAATTATCTTTATTATTTAAGCTTTCAAAAGAATTTCTGAAACTTCTTTTTGAATAGATAACTTACTTTATGAATATCATTTTATAAAATTGTTAAATTAACTAGAATTGTTAGGATACAATTTGACTAATTTTACGAATATAAGTTATGTCACGGTATTCTTCACATTGTATTATGACGAATGAATATACAAAGATATAGTTAGTATGAAAATTGTAGTATTGAAAAATCAAGTTAATATGTTCATCTATCCAATATAGAAACTAGTTCCGTTATAATATACAAAAAAAGAATAGTCGGTCAATGTCTGATTATTATCATTAACGGGAAATAGTTAGATATTTCTCTATTCATTCTTGAGAAAATATCGTCTTTATATAAAAAAAAGAATGAAAGATGTTTATTCGCACACTAGAAAATGAACCGACATTTTCATTAATAATAATTTTATATTAATTTTATATAAATTAAATTCATATTTAATTACGCTGCTCTTTATCAGTAAAAACCAAATTAGTAACTTTAAATTTTTATATAAATTTCAATGAAATAAAATAAAAAAAATCAAATATATTATAAGTGAATAATAAATTTAATTTACTTTTTTTTACATTTATCTTATCAATCATTTAAATTTTCTCTCATAAATTAAATTATTTCATGCGTTTTCATTTATCATGCGCCATAATAAATCAAAACGATAAATAATAAAGTATTAAAAAAAAAATTTAAAGAATATATCTTCCATTAACGTGTACTGGAGAAAGAAAATCACTTACCGGAAATACAATTCGAGCGAAAACGAACCATAATCGTTACGATACAACTTGTTGCATCCGCGGTCATCATCTCTCAATCCATCGGTGCCGGATCATTATTTCCAGGTTCGACTATTTTCTTTTCGACCTCGCTCCTCACCTGGCTTCTTACTACCCTCGCTTTTCCTACCATCGATGTAGCACACCGTCCCACTTTACCCGCTAACAACTCACAGCACTTCTCTCTTCGGTTTCATTGCCAGTGCCAGCGTTTCTCAAACTATAATTGCTTAATGCCACAATGAATATCCATTGTCACGGTCATTGTTACGATAGTTCAACATAATAGATTACGAATGGCGTTGAATACAAAAACAATTCGTTTGTAATGTTTTAGTAAATAATGAAATTTATGCCGTAAAACTGCAATTAAAAATGTTTTTTTATTTGTTTTCTTTATTAATTTCAATAATTTATCATAGAGTTTATTCAAATACTAAAATAATATGACTGAATAAAAAAGAAATTTTATCGAATTTTATTCAAAAAGATTTAAAGATCATTGATTTATATTACACGCATTTTTTTATATATATTATAATTACAAAGAATGAAACTAAATTCATATGTTAATATGCGAATACCATTGGAATAAAGTTTGAATTTCCAATTTGGTATGTCCATTAATAATAATAATAAATTTATTTTATACATATTTTCAACATTCATTATTTATATATATAGAAATTAAGTTAAATGTTAAATTTAATAAAACTGTTAACTGTTAAATTTAATAAAAAAATATAAAACTGTTAAAAAAACTGTTAAAAAACTGTTAAAAATTTAATAAAAATAAAATAAAAATAATAAACATTGATAAGAAAATATCTACTGACCTTTAATTATAGTAATTGATCTATTAATTTTTCTTCAAACTTCACTTGAAACATAACAGATAAATCAATTAACAAAATTTCAGACGACAAATTGGATGTGTTGGCTATTGATCGCGTGTATCTGCCTTGTCGAAGCTAGATACAAAATTAGAAGACCATTGCCTCCCCCACAGCCTCCTAAACTGATGTTCAAGAAATCATGGCCACTTACTCATCGAATTTCGGTGGGAAATACAATGCATATCAATGGAAATTTCCCATTGAAACGAATAGCTCACAAACCCTCGAATTATAGGTGAATCTTTGAGAATACATAGAAAAAATATATTTTTCATTGAACGTGACATTTTCTCGATCTATCCCTTATTCCAGAATTCGTCGACCTCCGATGTTCAATGTGCCATCTAATATTTGGAAAAATCAGATTCCAATAAGAACTTCTTTAAATAATCATGCGGTTTTACCACAACGTCCACCAGTTAAAGAATTTCATACCGTAAATAAAATGCCGGAATATAGTCCTGAATACAGACCGGAAGCTGCTGTTTTGCCACCGACCCATAGAGGTGGTGTCGATGATGACAAGGGACCAATTCATACGATTCCTGCGCCTAATCTGAGTCCCATGGATAAGCCTTTTAATAATGAAGTGAATATAGAAGAAAATTCACGTCAACAAACAACTGATGCTACTTATAAAATCAATCCACATGGTTAGATTCTAAAGTAACAAAATTAATGATTATTTAGAAATTTAATTTTTTAATAATTAAAAATATTTTTTTTATATATATTTGTTTTACATTGTTTTATAGGCTCCTTATTACCAAATTTTGATCTTGCTACTATTAGCACGAGTTTAACACCGCAGAAAACTGTAACGAGTCCCACTCCAGTGCAACATAATTACGAAGTAACTGAAAGCAATGATATCAGTCAAAAAGAATATCAAACCGTTTTACCGACATTCTTGCCTCCAGACTTTGCAACTCTTTCAACATTGGTGAATCCTGACTTACAAACAAATGACGTTTATTTAAATAATCATCCAGCGTCGAATATAGGCCTCATCGGAACAAACATTCAACTCGGGCAGTCCAACTTACCAATGCAAACTAATCTTCATAGTTCACTGCATGTTGGTTTCCCTGGTACCGCTGGACAGACTCCATATATTATAAATCAACAAATACCTGATCTACATGTTGGTCATCCAGCTCCTGCAGGTCCTCCGCTTTCAGCAACTCAACTTTACGATCTTTTAAACAGCTTTCCTCAAAAGATGCCAGAACAATATCAAACAGGTATGTTTCACATTCAAAATGTATCGTCATAAACTAAATTAAAATATAGAGAAAATATAACATGTTTTTCAGGATGTGAGATAGAAACGTTTTCTAATAAGTTTTATGCGTATTAATAACCTCTTTTATGACACTTGTTGCAGAGTATGTATTATTTAACGACCGAGCAAGTGTAACACTTTCATATTAAACATTTTTTTATAATAAACATATTATAACATATAAAATTTCTTTCTAATAAGTAAAAGAAATAACTTAGAAAGATTAATCAAAAAATAAAAAATTATATTATTAATATAACTATCATAATGCTATATATACTTATACTCATTTGGTAACTATCGATTAAAATTGATATTTGTATCGAAGAGGTTAACTTAACTTTATCGATATAGAATATCGATTTGGCCAAATTGTTATTTAAATAACGAGATAGATTGAAACGATTTTGATTTCAGGTCAACAACCACAGCTTCAGCAACATATTCTTCAGCAACAACTTGGTCAATTCTTTCAACCTACCGGTGTAACTGGTTTCTCACAGCCCCAGATGCAATCGTTCAATTACGATGAACAAGATAATAAGGAGCAGCAACAGCAGCAGGTCTTGTTCAATCAAGATTACGTCGCTGGAAGAGTCAATACGAATTACAATGTAGGACCGGAGACTTCCATAAATGATGAAGAAAGTGCTGGTTTGCAACAAAACGAAGATCTCACTTATATTACTGATGGAAACGAACAATTAGAAAATAACATTGAATATGAGGAAAATAACGATCAAAAGGATCAAACGACATATTTTAATAAAGTGGCTAATGATGATGGAATTTCTACGCAATTTTATACGACATTACCCAATCGTGAAGCTGCAGAAAAATTGGCAGCTCTAGCAGCTGCTGGAAATGTTAACAGTCAATTGATTGGACAATTGCGAAAACAACAACAGCAACGAGAGAATGTACAGAGTGAAGAAACTATGCCGCCTAATCACAAAAATGAAGAATACAAAACAAATGAGCAAATTAATAATAATCGTTATAATCAAAAGTATTATCAAGATCATGTTCAGAATCGACAAAAACAACAATACAGTCAGCAAAAACACGAAACATTACAATATGAAGAACGTCAGAAGGAATATGATAGGCAACAGAATCATCAACAAAATATTTATAATAACAAACGACCACTAAGAATTATGGTGCCAGATGAAAATGATTATAGCAATACCGAATCACAAAACGATGAAAAAAAAGAAAATACGGAAATTGAATACGAGTATGAGAATGACGAGGCGGATATTGGAAATTCGCAATCGTTCGATGAAAGATCGTCTTATGATCAATCAAATACTGAATTTGGATCACGTTTGAATCCCAAGACTGGAATATAAGTTTTTTTTTTTAAATATTGTATATATTGTTGTACGTGAATATTTATTACAATCCTATTTATCAATTAGTTTTATTCTTACGGGGATTTAATTTATAATTAGATGAATGAATAATGAATAAGATTTTTTTTTGGATGGAAAATGGAAAACTTCACATTGTTCTTTACAAAATACTGACGAAACATCTTTTTTAAGATTATATTTTAAAATTACTACTTTTATATTTTCATCGATAATATATTGAAGACACGCGATAGATGATTTAATTTATTTAAATATTATTTATTATTAGACGAAATTATTTGTACTTAATTATAAAAATGGATAAAAGATATTGCCATTGATTTAGAGAACTCATTTTTTATTTCAATCATTGCGCATCACCAACCTGAATTACATTTATATATATGTACATTTATATATCATTGAGGTAATCTATTTATATGGTACAGGAGTCATTCTGGTTATAAACAAAAATCTACGGAGATTCTATCTTTCAAGGATCATTTTTTTTTTTCCATTTCTTTTCTTCTTATAAAATTTGCCAATAAAACATCATAAGTACATACAGTAAAAAATACCTTATAAGAAATATATTTGACCAAAGTTAATATTATCATTGCACTTACCAAAGAATAGAGATTAATCTTGAAAAAACAAATCTCGCATGAACGAAAACGAAGATACTTTAATCATTATTATGTTTAAGTATTCACAAAATTTGAAATGATATAAACTGACGATAATTTATAAAAGAATACTACTATGATCGATCCATGAACCATGGCTTGCCATTATTTGTAAGCCGTTTTGTAAGAATATCGCAACCAGTTTCGGTAACAAGAAGCGTGTGCTCAAATTGTGCCGACCATTGACCATCTGCGGTAACTGCTGTCCAAGTATCAGGCCACATTTCGTCTCTCCATGTACCTTGAGATATCATTGGTTCAATAGTGAAACAGTGTCCTGGTTTCATAACACCCACAGCTTTGTTTTCTAAAAATAATGAAATCAAATTAAGTTAAAAGTATAGATTTAATGTAACGATTATAAATAGAATATTTACTGGCATAGTGAGGTACACTTGGCGCAGTATGGAATAAACGATGAATCCCATGACCGCAATAACTACGTACTACGCTAAATCCATGCGCTTGTGCATGTTTTTGAATTATATTTCCAATTTCTCTATATTTTTCTCCGGGTCGTACAATGTCTATAGCTTTTGATAAACATTCATGTGTAACTTCGACTAATTTTTTTATTTCAGGTTTCACATTACCGACTAGAAACGTTTCATTTAAGTCACCGTGAAAACCATTATGATACACAGTTACATCAACTATAAAAAAATAAGAATTGTGATATATTATTGTAATTATATCGAGTCTATATTTAAAAAAATATATTATAGTACCATTGCAGATATCTCCATCTTGAAGTGGCCTAGTATCAGGAATACCATGGCAGATTACTTCATTAACAGAAGTGCAACAACTAGCTGGAAATTGATAATAATTCAGTGGAGATGGATAACAGTCTCTTTCAATGCAAGCTTCATGAACTGCTTTATCTATCTCAGCTGTTGTAACACCTACATCACAGGTACGTGCAGCTTCATCCAAAACTTCTCTTCCAAGCTATAATAAAAATTAGATTTTTTTTATCATAAAAAAAAAGGCAAAAATATTTTGAAAAAAATGATATAAATCTTTAATAACTTTTTACCTTACAAGCTACCCGCATGCCCTCAATTTCTTCATCATCAAGAATTTTTATTTGGGCAGAACCTCGTACTGATTGTTCGCTCACAGATAAACCGGTAGGATGTGTAGCATAATCTGGACGTTTAATATGTTCGGGTACTTCGCGACGTGGTTCTCTTTTAAAAGGGCGTAATTTACCAGTATAATGATAAAAAGGCCATGGATTATATTCACCAGATTTATCTCCTCCTGTTCCCTCTAATAAGATAAAAATTTTTATAAATTATTTTATAAGTGTGTTTTTAAACATTTATTTAATCAAAAATATATTAATAATTATAATTATAAATTTATTTTACGTAATTATTAACAATTAACTCACTCGCTAATTGATGAATAACTTTGTGTGTTTTCCAACTTCGTTTGAAACAATCCTATAACAAAATACAAAAATATTAAAAACATATAATCAAAGAAATGATTAAAAAAACTTTTCGAAAAATCATATTATTATTCTAATTCTTTTATATATACATATAACACTTATTAATAATAGTAGTATCGGTTATTAACAATGCTGTAATGTAATCGATATAAAAATAAATCAAAATGCATCAAAGAATAAAATTTATATTATTATTAATTAATGGCATACGATATATATTTAAATATCTAATATATTTATTTCTTGAGTTAACCTATAAATATACAGAATAATACTAACTTGAGTGCAGAAATATGAGCCTTGTATTCCAATTTTCAAGCAAGTGGGGCATTGAAGGCTGGCTATAGTTTTACAACCTGGAGTTTCACACATACCAAAAGTGAGTGCCATTTTTCTCGAATCTTTTTTCGAAATTTTTGCGTGACGTGACTCGACGAACGAGGCACGAACAGGAAGAAGTAATTTGAGACGATCCTGTACTGCTTTACCGATAGATTTGTCTATTAATCTATCATGAACGATAAAATATCTAAGATTCATCGTTTATTTAGCAGCACGATATATATACAACATCAAATCAACACTTATTCATATATTATAATATAAATTTTAATAAAAATGAATCCACTTAATTATAATATCGATAATTTTCTGTATTGTTTAAATAGCAACATGAAAATATTATCATTCAATCAACAATTATAGTATTGCATTCTATTTATATATTAAGAATAAGTCGTTCATTAAATATTAAGAAAAGTATAGAACAATCATCAATTTTATTAATTTAGTTGAAATTACTATAGATACACTTTTCTTTATGAAAATATATTACTATAGAAATTTGATACTGAATATTATTCGAGATATTCACGATTAAGATTTTATTACTTTTAAAAAATATAATTAAGTTATCAAATGAATAACGCGATTGATTTTTATGGAATTATATATAATTCAATTTTTCGCGCCAATTTGAGTGGATAATGAACATGCAACTCTAACCAATCAAAAAATTGCTATGAGAATCGGTGCGCATGCCCGTGACATGGCGTCAGTTTGCTCTTAAAAATCGTGACGACAGAACGAATTACACCGGAATTGTGTAGAATTTTTATTGATAGAATAGTGTATTACGATTTAATATCGAGTATTATATTCGTAATTTCGTTGATTCGTTAATAAGTGTTTGTGTGATCATTTAATAAGCGTTATTATAATAATAAAGTTAAATAACGTCTTTTCTCGTCATGTGATACCGCTCATCTATTTGAAAGTTAAAGTTACTGGTAGTTCGTATTATAAATGTGATAGTTTATGCATACGTCACAATGTCCAGAAGACGACGTGCTAACTTTCGTATCAATAAGGTATAATTATTTATTTTTTTTAACATAAAGCGTAGTTTTATAGTTTTATTTCTACAAATTCTTATTTCTTTTTTATCTATATCTATCTGTATGTTCAATATCTCGTGTATTATTTCTGTTTGTTTTCATTTTACATTCAAGGTCTCGAGATTAAAAACATTTGTTATAATACAGTTTTTCCAGGAAATTCGCGTTCGTGCAGCGATAGATTCCTTGTTGCCAAACAAACTCCCTCCCCAATTTGTAATTCGATACATTGAAATCGCTAGACGGCATATTATTCAATTATTGAAAATTATGACACTTTATGTAGGCTTTTCGTATATATGAATACCGTAGAATGCATGTGTGATGTCTTTTATTATTTTCTAAATAAAAGAATAAATAATATATTAGGCTAAATATATCTGTTAATTATAAATAAGGTAATATAAAACAAATATAATAATTTTTTTTTAATTATAGATTATTATATTATATTATTATATTATATTTCTTAAAAAAAATTTCTTAATAAGAAAATTATATTATTTGACATTATATTCTTTATTTTTAATTTAACATTTAAAAATCACCAATATCAAAAGCATACGATTTATCTTTGGTCGATAATATATTTGATATAACATTTATTTTTGTGCATAATAATATATCGATATTCGCAAAAAAAACGCGCGAAATCATTTTTCGAAATTACAATCAATCGTTTTTTTATTTTTATTTTATTTATATCTCACGTATTTAAATTATTATATGTATTTTTCGATTAAAAACTGAATTATCGACATCGATAAAAATTGTAACTAGATTATAACGCACTCTACAGTAAAGAACAAAATTTCTAATTGAACAATTAAAAATAACGAACATATAAATTAAAAATTTGCACCTTTATTATTTAAACGAAATCAAATAAGTATTACACTAAAAAAATTAGTTTATTGCAAATTAGATTTGGAAAAATACTGTAAATATTATACATTATAAATACGTTATTATTTAACTTCTAAAATTATATTTCTTAAAATTATTTATTGATAATAATATTTATTGATAATATTAATTTTTTAAATTATTTTATAATTTTATTTAAATAATTAATAAATTCATTTAATAATTAATAATTTTTATTAATTGATCATAAATAATAAATAGTTTTATTCTATCATATTTTTTTTATTTCAATCTATATTATGAATTCATCATTTATAAATGACTTTGATTTAAGAGATTTAACGAAAATGTTTCTCTTCTAATTAATAACTTTACGATTAAAAATAATTTAAATATCAATACATTATTATGATTTTGTTTAAAACAAATATAATTCGTAAAATCGAGCATATAGTATTCTTTGTATCTCTTAATTTCGCATTTACAAACGATTGAAGTTGTACAAAGGTATTTATCGTTCGGTTACACGAGCAATAAATTAGTCAATGAATAGGGCCGTGTGTGCTCGATTTCTCTTCCTTTTTGCGCGCAGAAATATAGTAGTTCTGCGAAATCAGACAAGGTGCACCTATGGAATTTCGACGCAAAAAGATTGGTCTTTAATTTTTTTCTTTTTTTGAGACTTTAGTATCACTTATTAAGCTAACATAAAGGTTCATTTGTAAAGATCGTGTAAAAACGATCTCTTACATCGAGTTTGCACGAAATCGAATGAACAAGAATAATCATAGAATAAAATAACCAAACTGGGTTATTGCATGTTCTACATGCATAAAAATGAAGTTTTACTATACTTCACCTTTCTTGTAATGAAATTCTTTCTCATCGCAAAGAAGAACACGCGTGTATTTGAAAATTAAAACATTTCACGCGAAAATTCAATTCGATCATTCTCGTTAAAAATAAAAAAAAAAAAGCAATTTCTTTTATTTTCAACAAGATTGATGGAATAAGTAGTGATTCGTGACTCCCATACACAGTATTCTATCAAACCACATCGTTACGCGGCTTCCACGTTCCATTACTAGAAAATATTCAACCGGAATGATCGATTTGAATATCCTCTCGTAAGTTCGCGAAGCTACCGATAATACCGGAGATATACTTCCGCCTCGGTGGTATTAAGATAATCTGACCCTCTCGCTCAGCGTTCTTCAACCTCGTTTCCGACTCAAAACGATCTCTCGAAGATCTCTCTCGATCGGAACGACAAAATTCGTGACGAGAAAAATATTTTTAATTAATCAATCTATCAAATCACACGGAATATTACTATAAAAAGGAAAAAAAGAAAAAAGACGAAGGTATTCCACTTCTTCCAGTCTACTAAAAATTTTCCACGAATGATTCATCAAAGTTGTCGACATCTCCCCATTAAGAATCGAAGAGCACTGTCGTACGAAAGTTCCTCGTATCGCGACCGGCAAACATCGCGTTTCGAATATTAAACTTATCTCGAACGACGATATCGTTAGACCCCGCAAATGATGTTTAGCCCCATTCGGGACCTCCGCCTCCGTTCTGATTTTTTTTTCCTTTCTTTCTTTCTTTCTTTCTTTCTTTTTTTCTTCTTTTTTTTTTCCATCTTCCGCGGTATCGGCGAAACGAGTCTGTCTAACGAGAGACGTAGTCTGGAGAGATGAAAGCTTCGACGCGCATCTAATCGGCTTCATTATGCGCGCAGTAAAGAGTGCATGTTAACGCTGATTAATTACTCGTTGGCAGCTTGTTTAAACGAGCACACGCGGTACTTTTTCGTTCTCTCGGTCGTGGAGAGAAGATTTCTCTCTTCCTCTCCGCGTCGCTTCCGTCCCCTTTTCTTTCTGCCATTTCTGCCTTTTCTTCCGTTCCTCTTCTTCGGCCACACCGCCGACTTTGCCGCGGTACGACACGTCGTCGTTAGACCTGAGAATGAATTAAAATCACAATGGAGCTTGTACTCCTCCGTAATACTTGCCTCGCCGGTTGTATTTGCCCGGCGACCGCGAAGTCTCCAAACGAAGTATTTGCGCAATGATTTCACAGACGAATAAAGAGGAAGGGAAAAAAAAAACGAGCAGAATATCAGTATTTATTTTTTTTTTTTTATCTTCTGATCTATTTATTGCAATCCTATTTAATTATTTTAACGTTTTCCTTTTAGAATAGAAATAACTATACGCGTTTCAATTAACATAATCGAAGATTATCGTTAATCGAATCGAAACCAATACCTATCCTATAACCTAAAAAAAGAAAAAAAACCCAAAAAAAGAAAGGAAAACGGTGTTTTCTGGCAAAAAGATAAACGTGCATTCGATCGAAAGAGCAGGGACAATTTCGAAATCTTTCACAATTAACAATTCAATTACCTTGCTCCGTACCAAACTATCACCCGAACACCCATTACGCGATCCAACTTCGACCTAAGAACCAATCGACCGGATGCACTTATGGCTAATTTACTGCGCGAATTACACCGAAAACGCATCTCTCTCGTGAATCTTTCCCCTCCACCCTTCCAAGACGTCGAGGGGGAGGGGAAAAAAAACTTGCTCGATGAGATCGATTCTATCCGCCACAGCTCTATCCGCGTGCCAAGAATACTTAAACGATGCTCGCTAGTCGAACCGACCCGTGTAAGTGGGAGGGAGGGAGGGGGGGGGCACGCAGAGTGGAAAAGCGGGTCTAGGAAGGGACGGGGGAGGGATGGGCTTAAACTCTGCGATTTTAATTAATGTCGCTCGATCCACTTTGCACGGCCACCCTTCTATCGAACGCGCGGGATCTTTCAATCGCGTGGAAACTTTCCACGTTAATTATTTCCCCGTCGAACTCGGATTGCATGGACACGAGAGGAGGTGGAGAAGGGGGGAAGGGTGGACTTTGGCGTTTTTCACGTTGGAGAGGATCGAAGGAAGATTGGAGGAGGAAAGAAGAGGAGGACATGGGGAAAAGTGGGGAAAGTTTCGAAGGATCGGTTTTGCGTGGCGATTTTGGAAAATTTCGAACGAAGAAAACGATAAATTTGTAACGTTATTTTACGTTAATCGTATTAATTTTGCACTCGTATAGGGATATATATTCGCAAGATGTACGCATTGGAATAGTGAGAGAATCAGGCGTGCAAGGTGGAATTTATTTTTC